CACTAGCACCGCGACCAGCACCACCACCAGCAGATGTACCACCACTACCACCACCTCCAGCACCACTAGCACCGCGACCAGCACCACCACCAGCAGATGTACCACCACCACCACCACCTCCAGCACCACTAGCACCGCCACCAGCACCACCAGCAGCAGATGCACCACCACCACCACCACCTCCAGCATCAGCAGAAGCACCGGCGAGAACAAAAAGGACATCGCGAGACCAGATATTTGGTAGGTAAATAATCAATGCATAATTATCAAATTATATAACATCTTCACTAACCGATTTTGTATTAGAAGAGTTTAAACGTTGCAACATGTCACATTTATTTGCTCCCAACATTTTTCCAATCCTATAGAATGTCCATGCAATGGAAGAAAGAAACATGGTCGCAAATTCATAGATTGGTTGGAGTGCCCCACATGCAAGCAGTGGTGGCACGAATGCTGCATTGTGTGGAGGCATGAGGGAGTATGTGCAAAATGTATGTACTAAAATTATTTAATGTTTTTTACATGTTTCACATATTTATTTAATGGATTAATCAATTGCTTTTACCTATTAGTTTATTTTGTGGCTAGCATTTACTGGATTTGATTAAAAGCATGTAAACCCTAGGTGGTCAGTGATGAATACTGAGGAATGTCTTGCTTTATCAAATGAAATAACTATTAACGGTTTATTAATTAGGTTTGGATTAGCATCCAGCGATTAAAGTATTTGTTGGCCAGCCACATTGTGTTTCTCTAGTGATACTCTATTTACTTTAGTGACTGCTATCTACATGTAATTAAAACCACTGTTAGGAATGATAATTGAACACTCCTTCCATTTTAACTTCAGGTTAAGTTGGCGATGGATTCTGATTAGAAGATGTTCCCACGCTTATGGATCCAAGTCATGGAAATTTTGATATATTTACATTACATTATAAGTTAAAAAGCAATTTTTCTTGAATTTTATAAAAACAAACATTTAACATTAACTGTGTAAATATGTTACTATTGGTGTAAATATACTCTGACTGAAAGTGCTACCACCTAGTATTGGCATTTATTAAAATGATTGTTATAGCCTCTGTCATAGCAGCACTCACTAGTTTCATCAGAATAAATAAAATTAATAGTTTAGAGTCATGAGCATTGTTAGTGAGTCACAAACGCGGTGTTAATAGATATAAACACGTGTAGGCTTACACACGCACGCGCGCGTGGGTACATGTTGCCTTCTCGGATGTGGTAGGAACATGAAACATCGTACAATACTGACTCATTGCAGAATGACTCATGCACTACTAACTTACACGTACGTGTAAGTAAAGATATTAACAAATACAGAGGCGCGCGAGCGCAGACACATATGAGACTTTAATATATGTGAAAGATCGAACGAGAGAGCGAGAAAGGAAGTGATGGAGAGAGAGGGGGCAGTGGCATATACATTCATGCATGTATACATAGATACATACATACCATACGTGTGTTTATAATGTGTGCGCACGCGTATGCGTGTGTGTGCGTGTGCGTGCACGCACGTGGATACGCGTTGCCTTCTTCATACGTGGGATGAAAATGACGATGTATTAGATGATCAGCATAATGATATTATATACACGCGCGCACACACAAGTTAGTGCGCTGCTATAGCTTAATCGGTCGCACGCACCCGAAAATGCGCTCACGCGGGCGTCCATGCACAACACTTGGAATTGTTCCGCTATATGATCATTATAGCAATAATAATTATGAGTTTCTATATCATCTTAATTCCGTCATTGAGATGTGCATTCTGGTTAGGAAATTAAATGCATACTTTAGTTCATTCGATGTTAACTAGCAAAATTCTTAGTTTGGGCACGGTTGGGAAAGGGGGTGGCGTTGTGCAAACTTGGAATTGACAATTGTACCGCTATATGATCATATTATTATAACTCCACGCCAGATGGCGCTCTCACTCTCGTTCAATTCGTGCCCTGGGTGTACGAAGAGGCACTTTGTGATCATATAGCAATATATAATATGAGTTTCTAATTCTATAGAATCTTTCTTCTTTGAGATGGGCATTCAGGTGCATTGTTTAGTTCATTCGATGTGCGCGCGTGTGCGTATATGTGTGTGCGTGTGTGTGTGCGCGCGTGTGCGTATGTGTGTGCGTGCACGTGTGCGCACGCGTATATGCGTGTGTGTGCGTGTGTGCGCACGCGTATGCGTGTGTGTGCGTGTGTGCGCACGCGTATGCGTGTGTGTGCGTGTGTGCGCACGCGTATGCGCGCGTGTGCGTGTGTGCGCACGCGTATATGCGTGTGTGTGCGTGTGTGCGCACGCGTATGCGTGTGTGTTGCGTGTGTGCGCACGCGTATGCGTGTGTGTGCGTGTGTGCGCCCGCGTGTGTGTGCGCGTGTGCGTATGTGTGTGTGCGTGTGTGTGTGCGCGCGTGTGCGTGTGTGCGTGTGCGTGTGTGCGCCCGCGTGTGTGTGCGCGTGTGCGTATGTGTGTATAATGTGTGCGCGCGCGCGTGTGCGTATGCGTGTGTGTGCGTGTGCGTGCACGCACGTGGATACGCGTTGCCTTCTTCATACGTGGGATGAAAATGACGATGTATTAGATGATCAGCATAATGATATTATATACACGCGCGCACACACAAGTTAGTGCGCTGCTATAGCTTAATCGGTCGCACGCACCCGAAAATGCGCTCACACGGGCGTCCATGCACAACACTTGGAATTGTACGGCTATATGATCATTATAGCAATAATAATTATGAGTTTCTATATCATCTTAATTCCGTCATTGAGATGTGCATTCTGGTTAGGAAATTAAATGCATACTTTAGTTCATTCGATGTTAACTAGCAAAATTCTTAGTTTGGGCACGGTTGGGAAAGGGGGTGGCGTTGTGCAAACTTGGAATTGACAATTGTACCGCTATAGGATCATATTATTATAACTCCACGCCAGATGGCGCTCTCACTCTCGCTCAATTCGTGCCTGAGTGTACGAAGAGGCACTTTGTGATCATATATAATATCNACACACACACACACACACACACACACACACACACACACACACACACACACACACACACGTACACAATTATTCTAGCAAGGCTTCGAACTCAGAGACGAGGCGACGCGGGAAATCGACTATGCATGGTCAGCCGCATGCGGTGAGTGATCAGCTGAATGCGATGTGGAGATATTCAAATTTGCTTAGGTAAAATTACGGAGCGCTCATTAAGATGATTACGATAATTATAATCACACAGTTAAACCAGCCCCGCCGGCGGCGCCGTGCGTGTGTGAATTATCAGAGAATTAATCATCGCACACTTAATTAGCAATGCATATCATTAAGTCTGTCCCCTCCCCCTCCTCGTCTGTGCGCGAACAAACAATTCTGTGTGCGCGATGAACGCTAACCTTTAATTAATACTAATTAATACGAATTAACATTGAATTTAATAGCGCGGCAATGGGGAAAGTTTGTTCTATTTAGGCATTCGGTCGGTTATGGGTTCCATGTAGATTAAACATTGTAATTTTGGCAATCCCTCCTAAACCTAACGCTTAACATGTATTTATACTCAACGGCCGATCCCAGGGTCGGAAGAGGAGGGGGTTAGGAGCATGGCGTAACCTGTCCCGCGACACCCTCGCGCTGTTACATGCAGCAAGGGGTGGAGTGCACTGCCGTATCTAGCCATGTGTGTTTGGGGAAGGGGATCAGGGCCATGCCCCAACCCCGCACAAGAATCAATACCCGAAAACACGAATTGACAAACACGAAGCAGTCACGTATGAGCAGTTCAGACGTCCATTTTACTTGCTGTTTCCGAAATCTAGTGCTCTAGCCCTAGAGATCAGTAATGGCCGCACGCACGATCCGCTAGAATTTGCGGCTTGACCTCGCCTGGGGGCGCTTATAGCGCTCCCCCCAACACTCCACCCATAGAGATATATAGATAGATGTGTATCTATATTATCAATATTAATATATTATCAATATTATCTATATTACCTTCTTTATACGCTCTTGATATTATTTCTAACATTCCACCACTCACTGGTGCTATTTGTACCCCGCTGACCCATTCCTGGAAACGCCGATGAGGGAAGACGGGCGAATCCTCTCTCCTGTTTTAAGCTACCGATGAGAGAGGAGGGAGCATCTTCTCTCCTGTTTCAATCTGATGGTGAGATAGAAAGGGGCGTCCTCTCTCCTGTTTCTATCTACCCTTGAGGGAGGATCGGGGCATCTTCTCTCCCGTCGTTTCAAGCTACCAATGAGAGAGGAGAGGGGCATCCCCTCTCCTGTGTCTATCTACCCTTGACGGAGGAGCGGCGCATCCTCTCTCCTGTTTCAATCTACCGATGAGGGAGGACCGCGGCATACTCTCTCCTGCTCCAAGCTGTCGCGTCGTATAATAGGTCCGCTTACGGTATGAAGGAGCCGTAATAATAGCGTACAGTTTGCGCTAGTGCTTAAAATGCGGTCAGGGCCCTTCAGTAAACCTTTACCATGCGCGGATAGAGAGAGAGCGANGAGCTATGTGTGGTTGCACCCGTGACACCGCTGTCCGTTCCTTTACCCCTCCACTCTCCCCCTCCTCCCCCTTTCCATCATCCCCCTTCCCCACCACCTCTCACTCTCCTCCTCCACCCTTCCCCTCCTCCCTCTTCCCATCCTACCCCCTTCCCACTACCTCTCCCTCTCCTCCTCCCCCCTTCCCCATCCTCCCTTCCCCACCACCTCTCCCTCTCCTCCTCCCCCTTCCCCTTCCCCTCGAGGCGCTCGGTGCCGAGTATTTGCTCGCAGCAGCTGCGCGTGTCTTTCTTCGATTAACGTAATCAGCCGACGTATATTGACCTCACGCTAATTGCACTCTTAATTAATCGTCTGCTAAGCTCACTCGACGCCCGTCAGAAGAACTCTCAAGGGGGCGCTACGGGCGCTCCTCGGTCGTCGGCGACGTGCTCCCGATTCAGTCGCCGTACTTGCGTCAGTCAGCGGCCAATTAGTGGCCGTGGATGCTGCGTGCTCATTGATGGCATCTTCATCCTTACCGGCCGCCCATCGTTAAGACAGTAGTGGTGGAGCTAAAAATAACCAACCGGTCACCTGACGGAATGTCACGAATACACAACAAGACCAATTTTACTTCTAATGCTTTCTCGACGTCCACGAGGCATCCAACTTGCGTGCATAATGCAAATTATTGCACTCTAGTGCCGAATTTCGACGAAAAAAATGCCAAAAAAGGCCTTTTATAGAGACGAAATAGTGCAAGAGAGGGGAACGCGCGCCGCGCGCCATCTCTCGTCTCGAAAGAGCACTAGCCGCTGCTGTGCTGTATTAGCATAGAAATATATAGACACGCGGAATATATAGAATATATCGAAGATAAGACTATATATAGAGAGTCTAACTAGTATATGATTTCTATGGGTAGTAGGGAGACTGGAAAGCGGGTCAGTATATTCACTTTACTCGCTTTGCTGGTTGCAATGTTAGTCTGTGAGTGTGTTGTGAGCGGGGGTGAGGGAGAGGGAAACTTGCGCGAGAGCGAGAAGTGCGTGTTGTGCATGTTTGCCCAGCCTCAACAATACTGGTCGGCTATTATCTAACCCACTTCTCACGGAGAAAGGGTTCTGGTGCGATACACACAGAGAGGCACGTATACTTAGCAAATATCGTCTACACTTGTATGCAGAGAGAGAGAGAGAGAGAGAGAGAGAGAGGAGGCGCGTGGGGTGACTGGGAGGAGAGACGAGTGGGATAAGATGCTGGTCCAGGCGCGGGGTGTGTACGATCGACTCGAAAGGGGAGACGGAGGGGAGGATGGATGGAGACGACAGGGGAGATTGCGAGGGCCGCGCCGGGGGGGGGCCGGGGTCGGGGAGAGAGCGGGAGGCATGAGCAGGGAGGGAGAGTGTGAGAACGATGGTCGGGGGGTTGGGGCGGAGCGGAAGTGCGAGTGATGAGCGAGGCGGAGGAGAATGGAGACGAGAGCAGCGCGAGAGGAGAAGAGGAGAGAGAGAGGAGAAGGAGGGGAGAGGGAGGGAGGAGATGAGAGAGAGAAAGATAGAGTAGGGGGAGAGAGACTGACGCGCGGCGGGAGGAGGAGGCAGAGAGGGAGGAGGAAAGAAGGATAGAGAATAGAGGAGAGAGAGAGAGGTGCTCGCGTGAGGTGAGAAGGAAGAATGAGGAGAGGAGAAGAGAGAGAGAGAGAGAGGAGAGAGTGTG